TTTCTTAGTAAGTTATGTGGAACAAAGCACAACACTGTCAATAACCATATTGTTAATACCAAATTTCATTGGTATTTCATTGGAATTGTTGCATAAATTATTTGAATATTTCTAATGAAATTGAAATGGAGTGCTGTGTTCCCCTCTTGGTGACTAAGCCCCTAAAAACCCACTAGTATTCAGTTACTGGCTTCCTGTTTTTGCTTGTTTCTGAAATGCCTGCCAGGCTTCCTCTGAGCAGAAATGGAATTTAACCTCTTGTATACCCAGTAACATTTCCCTAAGCAGACATTTGTCAGGGGCAAATTAATCTGACTTGTAATGTCATCAGCTTTATTATATTTTCTTTTTTGTTTTTGGTTTGTTTTATTTTTTAGATATATGATGGCAACAGCAGCAATGCTAGACAGCTAGGTAAATTTTGTGGGGATCAGATACCACAAACCATCCATTCCAGTGGAGATAGCGTGTACATAAAACTAAGGACAGACAACAGTCTGCAAGGTGGAGGTTTCTTAGCCAAATACAAACAGGGTAAGTAAAGGAAGATGAGATGTTTCTACAGCTCATGTTTTATGTGAAGGTGCTTACAGCCCATGATCTTACATATTTATCAGCACAGTAAAATCTGTAGAGCATACAACAACCCAAATTTTCTATTCTGGTACAGTTACAAAACACAGAGACCTAAAAATTATCTGCCCATTTACCTGTGATGGAGATTATCTCCTTCTTAGGAGAAAGCTAGTAAGGTGGCTCTATCTCTATTACCTGCACCAGTGGCATATGTCACTCCAGATTTACTCAGAATAACAAATGCTGGAAGTCCATAACTGGGTAGATTTGACAGCTCTTGCTCTTCTGCTCCTTCAGGCTCCTGAATTTTTAAAAGAGAAGGCAGATATAGCAAGATTCTCTGATCATAGAGCTGCTTTTGAGGAAGGATGACAAAGGATAATTGAGTTTCTGTCAGCCAGACTGCATCATTGTGGGTGCTTGGGATAAATTAGCCTATGGGGAACATTTTAAAAAGCTTCATTTTTAATATCTTGTGGTAAGGGTAATACTTTTCTTGCAAACATGCTTCTGTAAAATAGTACTACCCCAGAAATATCAGAATAATATCATTTGGAGAAAACACAAGAAGACACATGACAAAGTTATTTTATTCCCAGTCATAATGTGAGTATAGTCCCAGTGTTTACTTTTCTCTTTAAACGTTTTATATTTTTTAACAATTAAATGCACATTGAAAAATATGTAATTTCATCACATACAAAGTGATTTGCAAGCATATTTGTGTCCTCTAAATATGACACGTCCAAGTGACAAGGACTGTTGTAGGTTTATAGATGTGAAGTTGTCTTGGGTTTGGACAATAGTAAATGGATTACAAGAAACCAAAGCTATTTTTCCATGTGTGACACATGCAGTAATTAGAAGAAGGAGGAAGCCTTGGCTCCTTCATTCCTTACAGATATCACTGCCATGTGTTTTTCAGACTGCAATGTCAAGAGGATATATTAGAAAAGGTTCCTCCTGCCTTTCATTAATTAAACAGAAAGAGCACTTTCAGAGCACTCAGATGTAGAACCTGAGCTATCAGATAAAGTGATTTACATTCATATTTAATTCCTGAAGATGCATCAGAGAAAGCTTTTAATGTCTTGCCCAAAAGCTAGATTATGTAGGCAGTATGTTGTAAAATAAGGATGCTTAGATACCAGATACATTTACATGTACATGAAAGAAATTTAATGATTAATTGGAAAATGTTGCAAAGGAAAACACAGTATCAAGTTACCATTCAAAGGCACCTCTGTGCCTGATATGTTTCTAATAAAATCCCTTTGGCAGGGGGGAGCAGATTTTACCCGTTTTGCATTCTTCAAAACCCTTTTAGTGTTCTTTGTCCTGCCCTTTCAAAAAGTCATATGCTTCAGAGTAGCTTTTCAGGCAAGCTCCACTCCACTCCACCTGACCCTGACCTTCAGCTGTATCCCAAGCATTCTGAAATATTGAAAAGACAGACCTTTAAATCGTTTGGTTAGAATTTAAAAAATGTGCAGGAGGTAGGTGTACTCTCTGTGGTGACAGACAATAGAACAGTCATGCAAGTGAATCTCAGCTATTTCTGCTGTTCAAACACTGCAGATTTGCTGCACAAACCAACCAGCCTGGTCTGCTCCCTGCCCCCTGGCCACTTCCCAGTGCACTAATTACACATTTGGGAGCCTGTGCTCCCAATACACATTGTATGCTTTCTCCAGACAAGGGATTGCCCACACTGATATTTTTTGTCTTTAGGGAAAGGTGAATACTGGAAAATGAGACTCACCGACCTAATGCCATAATTGTAATTTTGTTCTTTATCTAGTTCAGTTTATTTTCATTTTTTCTGCAATTCAAGGAAAGTTCTTATTATTCGAGGTGAGTGTCCAGTCCTTATGCTAGGATGTTATCAAATGTCTCACAAGGAAAATCATGGCTTCTTTTTAAAAATTTCATTTTCACATGCTTTTCCTGGGGCTAGAAAGCCCAATGCTAATAGTGTAATTTCCATTGGTTGTTTTATGCAGGGATCATAATTTTTTCCTAGTTAGCTGAAATAAACCACTTTTATTGATGTCAATATTTGTTGAGCACCTCCCCAAATTGTTTCAAATGACAGGGTACATTTTATGATTAGTTAAAAAAAAAAAAAAAAAGAAAATGTGTTTCATGACTACCCATGTATTTAGACTTAAAGAAGACTGCCCAAAAATATGTGTGTTCAAAAATATGTATTGATGGGTGTGCAAATGTCAGAAAAGAAGGTCATAATAATGCTGAAAGATTCAAGTTTCAATAGCTGGAGTTTTGGTTGAAACATATACAAATATGTTTCCAAGAGGTCACCATTCTCTTTCTGCATGGCTTCTCTAACCTGAAAAAAAATATTTCTTACATTGTAATGCTATCAGTAACTTCAATTAGTAATTTTTGAGATAATGGATTAATAACACTGAACAAAAGTTATCTATAACCACTTTTTTTTCAGTTTGCCATGAAGTGTTGACTGTTAATCGTAGCCATGGCATATTGGAAAGTTTAAATTATCCAAATAATTACCCATTAAATGAGCACTGCAACTGGACTATCCAAACCACCAAGGGGAACACCCTCAACTATAGCTTCACAGCCTTTGATTTAGAAGATGGATCTGACTGTGATCGTGACTTCTTGAAGGTATGTGCCTAGATTCTAGAAACATGAAAAATCAAGTCTTTAATAAAAAAGAAAAAGAATAAGATTGCAGAAGAGCAAGGGGAAATTTATCCTATCTAAATTTAACCATTAAAGCTTAAGTGTTAAATCCAAATTATTTAACACTTTTTCCTCAGTGATGAGTATGGAGTGAAGCATTGCTACCTCAAGACAGGTGTGTGCCTCTGAGAGGAGGAATCACTCTGCAGGTGCCTAGGTTTCTACAGTCTAGCTTCCACCTTAGATTAGATGCACTGGCTTTCATTGGCAAAGTGAGATGTCATGACTCCAACTTCATGCAAAGAAGGGGGAATCCTGAGATTAGTAAATGAATTGCAAAAAGGCAGTGAGCCCAATTATTGTCCTCTTGTTTTTATCTGAGAAGGAATGAAGAATGTTCAAAAACTTTGATAAATATCTACATTTTTAAAGGGAGAATTCCTGTGTCTCATGTTCATATTTTACATAATTCATCTGCATCTTTAAAAGGACTAAAAGAAAATTAATGTACCCACAAACAAAATGTGACATTTTTAGGCAAAAGAAACCATAGAGTCAATCTAAAACCAAGTATCCTTTATTTTAATTTACTCAAAAAAAAAAAAAATCAAGGACCAAAACAAAGTTTTCTCAAAATTTTCTAGGAAAGCTGAAAAATTACTTTAAATTTTGAACTTAGTACTGTGGGATATAGAGGGTAGTCATGATCACTCTATACTGTGGATTATAATCTCCTGCCTACAATTTTGCTGGACTGATTCATCGTTCAGATCTCACCCTTGTACAGGATGCCCGCACGCAGCCCCTGTGCTCTACTTAGGGTTTTGCACAAGAGGAACTGTAATTTAGAGAAATCTTAGAGAAGACTGCTTACAGCCAGGGAGAGGACTATGGAATAGTACCTGTATTTCTGGGGGTATTGACACCCAGGTATTGCAGAAGGTTCAGCAACAGACTGGTTGATGGCCTAATCTGTTCCTTCTAGATGTCCTCTCTCACTTCCTCTACCTCAGTACTATGGCAGCTTTCACAGCTCAAAATTGGTAGAAAATTGGTAAAAGTGATGTTCTTCCAGCTTTCTTCTGATTGTGGCCAGGAATGGAAAGAAAGGATAGACATGTGAAGAAAATAAACAAGGGAGCACTGTACTGCTAACTAACTATTAAGCCCTGGTTTGTTTTTGTGAGGAGGCTGAAAAAGAAACATTGGAGCCAAGTGGAGAGGCCAGTGCTAGTCTCAAGATGCCTAAAGCCTTGACCCATGGAAAGCAGGAGCCCTGCACACAGTAGCCAGCCTGTGAGGAGCAAGAAGCTTGCCAGATTCACTATTGTAGTCATAAGTCAAGGGTGGAGGAATAGTGCCAGGGGCAAGGATCTGATCCAAAGCACTTAAAAGAACAGAAATAAAACATATTGGAGAGAGTAAGGAGACAGGAGCACTCTCTGCTTAACAATTTTTCAGTGCTTTCAATCAAAGAAAATACAGACTGAAGGAGGTATAAAAAAGAGAAAACAAGGGAAAAATAAAGTCATGGAAGTGTGTTAAGGAGGCTTTTATTTGCAATTCATGTAACTTTACTTACAAATCTTTCTCCAAATTAAGAAACACCACTTGGAAAAGATGTTCTCATTTGGTTGTTGCATGCTGCACAAATATGTGCCATAGTGTAAAAAGAGAACAAGGTTGAACCAGCCAGGGAATTGAATGGTGTTTGCTCCCACCCTGCATCTTGCGAAAGGAGAACGTATTGGCAAGGCTGGGAATGTGCTGTGGTGTAGGGGAAAGGGGGAATCATCTGGAACAAGCGTACAGTTCACTTTCGAAGCAGACTGCAGATATTTGGGACTTTTCTGTTTGAAATCCATGTGGAGTCTGACACTGCTGCAAATTAAGAAAAAAAGGATAATTAAAAGAAACCTCGTAGTTATTCAGCGAAACTAAATTACTTTTCTGCCACATGTCAATTTTGAGATTCCTTTATTTCAGCGAGGTCTAAGAGGGGAAAGATCTGATGATCTTGCTGAGTATAACAGAGACATAAACCTGTTCACTGTGGTCTAAGCTGGTGATGCAGGGACCAGAATCCCTCACCATTTTCTTGAAGGAAATGGGAACCTGATGCTCAGACACTTTGCATGTAGCTACACTCATGAACCAGAGTGGCTGCTGGTTGCTGATCAAGCACTCTTTTCCCTGGGAGCTTTTAAGAGTCCCTTCCCCTATCTTGTTTAGGGTTTGTGGCAGCAGCTCTCCCACCTCAGGCACTTACCTGAGCAGACAGCAACACTCTCTTTGTCTTCTTAGCTCTGTGGCAGCTCGGACAGTAGCAGCATGCTGCTCCGTGGCAGCTAGCAGATGGCAGGCTCGGTGACAATATCCCCTCCTACTTGCTGGGAGGCTGGGGACAGGAAGGACAAGAGTTAGCTGTTAGGTTGGATTAGCTGATGATCACAGCTGTAGTGGCAGAAGGAGTAAGGAAAAGCGGCATATGATGCAAGGACAAGACTAAAGGTTGCAGAGGTGTTATGGCAGAAGCATGACCTGCCTTAGCAAACTACAGTCAAGAAATGGCAGTTGCAAAAAACACCCCAGAAGTAGTAAAGCTGTTTTTAAAAGTTAGTGTGAGAAACAGATTTATGGACATGTGGACATATTTTTATAGTCTCAAACTAAAGCTCTAATTTTTTGAAATCTTCCTGAATTCTGAAGGGGAAAATGATGGTGCTTGGTGGGGTGGGGACAACTAGACTGAGCAAGCTGTTTTCCTGAGTACTGCTGAACCTTGCTTGCTGAACAAAATGCTTTTGGTCCCAGTCTTTATACTGGAAAAGGGCATGTTCCTCAGCTTTGTGTTTAATTATGGCTGACACTCTGACCCAAACCCACATAAAAAGAGCATTTTGCCTCATGACTAATTCAGTCAGATATATACAGTTAATTAGCTATTTGCTACCTGGCTTAGTCCACATGTGAGTCAGAAGTTATATGTATAATGTCAAAACCAAAATTTTCTACACATGGGTATTCCTAGTGATTTTCAGTTACCAAAGATATTATCATGCCATAGAGCAAATAACTGTTTCACATTAAGGGCAGGAAAAATATAGTCAGCTATCCAGTGAGTATGAGTAAGTACAAGTACAGTGCATGATTCTTCCAGACTGAAATTCAGCCACATATGTACAATAAGAAGACAGCTGTGTATTGTGTTACATATTTCCTTTCCTCTTTTGATCATGGGAGGCTTCTTGTCAGCTAGGCCACCATTCCACCATCTGGCAGGTGTTACTCATGGTGAGCAGCATTCTCTTTCTGCAGGGAGCATTGAGTGACTCCAGCTTGTCTGGTCTGGGCAGGACCTGCATCTCCACCACTTTAGCATATACAACTATTTATACTTGTGTCAAGTAGGAAGTAAAAAACTCTGTTATTCTGACTTTGGGGCAATTCTCTGTGTGTAGGTGCCAGAAACTGAGAAGGGGCAATGTGGGAGGGAAGCAGGTTTTATTATGTCAGTGTCTAGGATGAATGCCATATGAGCACTTACCCAGCAAATGAGCACTGTACAGTGTTTCATATCCTGTCAGAGGATGTTGGCTCATCACTAGTAATGCTCATAGGATGTGTGACATTTTGGAAGGAGTTTTGCAGTGAAGTTGCAAGAATATGAGATTAATTGCTTCTGATAAAGACATGTACAGAAGCGACAATAATAAGATACAAGACATATCAAATAGCAGAATGTTTACTGGTGATGCTACACTAACTGTAATTAGAGTGGATGGTCTTTAACTTATATTGCTTGCTGTGTCTTGGCTAAATAACCTGACAGTAGTCTTTCTAGAGGAGTCGTGGGGCTGTAACTAGTGAGATACTGCAGGCAATGACATAGAAATGTCATTCTTCCTCTACATGCATCAGATTATTAGCTGAACAAGCATATATTTAATTCCCCATCCTTAATGATGAATTACCTTCTTATTTGGTATGGCAGAACATAATCTCTGGGGAGGCAAAGTAGGAAGTATATAATAGTTTTGCCCTGAAGATTTGAGTCTTGCTGTAGAGCTGACATATACTCCTTCCTTATACAAGAAAAAACATTATTTGAAAACCACTGATCATTCTGTCCTTCAGTGACAATGCCCCTCTATGTTCTTCTGCTGAGAAAGCACTACTGTCACTTGACGTCCAGTCTGTTTAGCATCTGCTTTTATTAATTACAGAGATGTCATGGATTAGGAATGATATCTCCAATTTAGTACTCCCACAAAAGCCATGCACTGCTTCCCTCTCCCCCACCAACTGGAGCACAAAAGGCAAAGATCAAGAGTAGACATAAGAAAATTAACAGTATCAGCAACAAGACTAATGACAGAGGGTATATGAAATTATTCATACAGGCAAAAAAGACCCCAAACTGTAACAGACAATACCAGACAGCTCCCTCTGCCAGGTTTTCTAGACAGAAGGAGCCCCTTCTTCCTGGCCCTGTCCCCTGCCCCTGGCAATGAAATGACATGGTACAGAACAACCCCTGTGTCCTGGCCATGCCCCCCCCCCCCCCCCCCCCCCCACCTACTGCAAAAAATTATGAGCCAGAACCAGGACAAGAGCAGACCTTTCCCAGCCTTTTGCAAGATCCCAGCAGCCTGATAAACAGATAGCAAAATTGTGTCAGGCAGCAAGACAAATTTCAGAGCTCTCTGTCCAAGTTTCACCCCTTTGGTCTGTGCATCTACTGTCAGTGTTGGAATTGTCATTGGGTTAATGCAAAAGAACATCCTATGAGGCAAACAACTGCCTGATAACAACAAATGCCTTTCTTCTGCTGCAAGCCAGGACAGAGTTCCACTTTGGACCAGAGCACTGCCTTGCTTGCTTACAGTCAGTATGCTTAAGCAGCCCAGACCCTTTCAGCAACTAGGCTCAAAGTGGTTAAAATACCATTGCATGATTATATGAGGAATATTATCTAATGAATACAGTAATTAATATGGCATCTGCTCCTGAGAACTGTTTCATTTCCTTCTGGTGGTAGCAGGATATGTCTTTTTTCCCTCCTTTTTTAAACCACAGTAGCATTCCAGGGATGTACCATAATATCCTTTTTCTCCATCTGGGAATACTGCATTCAATAATTGTCGCTCACGCTCATCTGGTCATCCTCTTTTTTTATTAGCTTAACATTAAAATATCTTACCCTGTTTCTAGTTTTACTCCCTCTTGCAATTAGTAAATATGCTTAAACTATATTAGGAGATTACCATTATTACATTTTATTTATGAGTGTGTCTTTCTAAAGTGCTGCAGGAATTCTTCAAGCACAGGGAATGGCTTTTCTTATGGCCATGCATTGATTTACAAAATGTCACTGGTAGTATGTCTCCCTGGAGAAGCAGATGATGTATGAAATATACCCACCCAGGTCCTGTACCCAGACATCAAATCACAGCCTGCTGGCCATGCTGCAGCAGTATCCATTAACATTTTATCATGCAAGCTGGCAGCACAACAGCACATCCCTGAATTCCTTCAGGGGGTTATGGGCCTCCACAAGAAATCCTTCAGTGTAAGACTGTAAGGATAAAAGTGACAATTCTCAGGTTTCTGTTCTAGGCTTCACCATCGGTATACAATGAAATCTTAGCCCATGCACTGATTTTCAGTGAGAGATCTGGATATTTAAAAGGAGAGTGTCAGGCCAAAAAGCTGTCCACCCTAAACAGGATCAGCTCAGCACTCCAATTTTTTGGTTTTCTAATTGCCTGCATTGCCAGAATCAAAGTACACTTTGGCTCTGCTCTTTGAAAGGTTACATAGAAGCAAAATTACAAATGCACACAAAACCCCCGACCCCTCACAACAGCTAAATTTGTAGTGATGACAGTGTTGCTTGGTGCCTACAGAAACCTCAGATGACAAGAAGCACAAGTGAAGCCAGCACAGGCTCCTCTTTTGGACTCTCAAAATGAGTCAGACCTTCATGGAATTGGCATTTTCCACACCCTGCCAGCTCACAGCAATGTGACTTAGCCTGTTCCTTCAGAAAAATGCATGCTACAATGAAATGCCTGTGAAATACCACCACATGATGGTAGTGTGCATGCCCCTTCTTGGAGAAAGAATATTTGAGACTCATCTAGTTTCAGCTGGATTCTTGTTGCCTCTGTTCTTCTGTATGCTAGACTTTGCTGGAAAGCCTGGCCATTATCTGAGACTGTCTGCTTATCACACTCAGCACAGGCATTGCATTAAAAAGTTACATTGTGGCTGGAGAAACTCCATTTAAATCAGTCAAAGATTCCCCTCATCACAGGGAAGACCCCAGACAGCTCAGAAAAAAACACAGTGGACTTTATGGAAGGTCATGTTCACCCCCTGAACTATTCCCATAAACCAGCCTGAAAGCCTAATAGGCAGGAATATTTATCTTTTTTTCTGTCTCCATTTGCTGACACCAAGCTGCAACTCTCCCTAGTGTCCATAGATATGCATGATGCAAATTTTCTCAAATAAGGGGGAATTCCCAGAGCCCTTCCAGTCCTCTCTGGCCCTTTATGGTGTCAGTGTGATGTTCCTTCCACTTACAGTTCAGTTCATCTGGGCTGGTAAGAACAGGAGGAGAAGCAGAGCCCTGGGCACAAATCAGCAGCGCTGCAAACTGCTCAGGCCACCCTGGGTTTTTCAGAGCAGGAACACTTCTCCACCCCCTTAGGCACAGCCCCTCCCTTTGTAGGGAGCTTTTCACACAGATTTCTGCTGAAGAGTAATTTTGGGAATATTACTGTCCCAAGCTTAAAAGCAGTCCTGTTCCCTCCACCATGAGTGGATTCTCGCTGCAAAGGAACTGCCTCAATTTCTGCTTTGAGGACAGCAGTCACTCGGCCAAAATAGCAACAGCCTCATCACCAAGAATGTGATCCCACTGCCACAAAGGCGTGGATCCCCAGGCAGTCCCTTGGTCAGCAAAAGCTGCAGAGACACTTTAGGGACCCATCTGGATTCTGTCCACCACAGTACGCTGGCTGGGAGGAGGTGCCTTCCCCATAGAGTTTTGGAGATTTAGAATGGCATGCTGAACAAATAAGGTTTTGAGTGCAGATTTTGGGATGTACTGACTAGGTGGATGTCTCCTAGGCATTCCTTTCTTCAGCAGCCATTATTTTCTACTCCTGTATCTAAAACAATTTTAAAATTTAATCCAAAGATACACCCTGTATTTCTTACATTCTTATAATTCATTAATCACTAACAAAATACTGGTTTCCTGTAATTGCGAGAAATAACATTCCCTAGAAAGACAGGAATGGACGGATATGACTGTAGTTAAATGTCTTTGTTTTCTTTGAGAAGAAAGTAAGTGCTAATTCAATAGGTGAAAAACTATTTTATAAAAATCACTCCAATGTAATGTGGACTTCAACATTGCTCAAAATTTTCACAGGGCTCTGATTATTTCAGGTTCAGGTTACAAGACAAAACATAGACTCACTCTTAAAAAAAAGTAGACATTTATTTATTTCTGTATGTTAGATAAATCCCAGCATATTAACTAGTATGCCTCCATGTCTAAGTGATGCCTGATGTCAAATTTCATTGTACTATAGAATAAAATGGTTCATTAGTGAAGTGTGTCATTGTATGGAGACAAGAAAGGTGTGTATGGTGGTCAGAGCAAGGGATGTGCTGCTGTGCTGCCAGCTTGCATGATAAAATGTTAATGGATACTGCTGCAGCATGGCCAGCAGGCTGTGATTTGATGTCTGGGTACAGGACCTGGGTGGGTCTATTTCATACATCATCTGCTTCTCCAGGGAGACATACTACCAGTGACATTTTGTAAATCAATGCACTTTCATCATAGGGCATAAATATATTTAAATACTCATATTAAAATATTAGTTAGAATGAGTTCTTAAGAAGGGCCTTTTTCTAGTGACAATTGCAAACCCTTCTCATCATCCAAGCACAAACATAACCTTATTTTGTTCTCCTGTTTGTGCAGAAGTGTCAAGGCTCCATGCAGTCAGTCACTCAAAGTCTTAAGCTGCCTTTGTTTCTGTGAAACAATGTCATTGTGGTGCTCAGCTAGCACACTGGGCCACATCCTGGTGCTTTAATTTGTTTGGATTTTCCTCTGGCTGACAGACCTGCAGGTTCTTAACTTTGCACTCTACCCTTCTAGAAGGAAATGTGTTGCTTGGAAATTAATTATTTTTGTCTGTGTTAATTCTTGTTTTAACCATTAATGGTGATTTCTCCTTAGAGTGCATTCTGTTACTTGGATGAGGATTATATAGTCTGTTTTTTGCTTCTTTTTGTATTCTGGTAATACATTTGTGGCAATGCCATCAAAATTTCCTTTCCAGAATTTATTTTCCTTTCATTTCCTTTCAGGAAGAGCTATTCAGAAACCTGTAATCACTGCCTCTGGTGTTTAGATCCAAACAATCCCATATCAGCTTTCCCTCTTCTAAGAGGAAAGGGATACTTGCATGTGTCAGACTGTCCTAGAGGCTCTGAGCATGGGTGGGGCACTTATGGCTCTGATGGTTTGATCCAAGGCAATGCCTCCTTTCCTGAGTTCTGCAAATACAGCCCAGGATTGTTACTGCTGGTCCCTGCATAAAGGTTTTCTAACAGCAAATAGTTTGTTTCAAGACTCAGCTGGAGACAATTATTACTATAATTGCTCATTATTATGATGAATTCATGACATCTGATGACAGTATTATGTACAGTACAATGAAAGAGAACTGTCACTATTCATAGAATAGATTTTCCCCTCATAAAAAACTGAAAGTTTGTTTTTGAAGACTATCACCTCTTGATCAAGACCATATGTTATTACTAACTAGTGTATATAAGCAGCTTGTTTTTCCTGGTGAAAAAAACCAAAACCATGCCTTTTCATAGAAATAACATTCTTCAGGAGAACACTGATATTTTGCCTTAACAATCCCTCCCCACTTACCTCCCTGTTCCCCACCCCCTAATTTTCTGCCAGGAAAACTGAACAGATGGAGTCTTACTACCAGTCTAAAAGGCTCACTTTTGCAAGACAGAGTAAGCTTGACAAGGCAGTCGGCTAGAAAATTGTCCCTACCTCGAGTATGTCCAAATGGAACACATTCCAAGGTTATTTCCCCCATTTTTTATAGATCTTTATTTCTTCCAAGTAGAGGAAACCTCATTTTCCAGTCAGCTCAGTCCTTGAGCTCCTGCTCCAGTTCTGGTAATGAGCTTTTCTGTGACACAGGTCATGCCCTTTTGCTTTGCTCCTCCAAAGAGAAGCGAACAGCTGTGGCCTCCAGGGCATCATTATTGGTGTTAGTGACATTTTTCCAGGCTGAAGAGTCAGAAGAGCCAAAATGCAATACTGGTGACCATGGTGTCCCCCAGAGGAGCTACCCAAGCCAAACCCTTCCTGCAGCTTTTGCTAGTCCTGCTTTCCCAACCCTGTTCTAATGTACAGCAGATGGTTTTCAGCTGCCACTTCGCTGTGGGGCAGTCACACAGCTTGATTCCTCCCTTAGAGAGCTGGTACTTCCCCTTCTTACCTTCATGTCAACCTATACACTTGCTCCTAGGGAGCCTGGTAAGGAGTTTCTTCTAACAGTTATTGAGCCATGCCAAATAATTTATTTGAATGTAACCCATCCCTCCTGGACCCAGTGCTGGGGTGCAGGCTGGTGAAATGCAGCGTTCTGCTTGCTGCTGGGCAATTGCTTTCCTAAAAAGGAGAGGCTAAGGATCTGAAAGCGTGTTGCAGGTGTTTGCCTGTTTTGCTGGTTGAATTGTCTGCCAAAATCATTATGAAGCGCTTGGATTTTCTGGTGGAGGCTAAAAGGTCTGAACAAATAAATAGATTATAAAACCAATATATACACAGAAGGGGACAAGAACTTTCTTCGCAATGGGGAGCTGGAAGGGACTCAAATTACCAGTTCCTGGAGTCAGTATGGTGCAGGAGTGACTAATACACTGCCCCAAAATCCAATTGTCTTGCACAATCATAAGAAGTATCTTGTCTCATATAGACTGCAGAAGAACCTTCCCTCTATTTGCAGCAGTTTAAGATAACACAGCTGACAAAGCAGGACCTGACACAAGAAACGTTATCTCAGATATCAGGAGAGAAATTATGGCTCATGAGAGTTGTGTTCAGCTTCAGTTTCCCTTGCCTGTGTTTGTGTGAGAGCAAAAGGTGGTTTGAGAAGTTCAAAATGCCCTGTGAAAACACACAGCTGTTCCCTTCATTTAGAAATGAAAGACAGCTCAAAAAACCCAGCTGTAATTCTAGCAGTCGTGGTTCTGCCTCTCTCAATGAGTTACAGCTGGCCAGGCACTCAAATTCCCTGTGAAATGCTGCTGTGAACTCAAACCCACGGGGCAGCACGGCATGAAGGGATTGCCATAGTAACCATGCTTTGTGACTAGAAAAACTGATGGACTGTTTTCAGAGGAAATGACATAGAAATGTGGCATTCTCTGTCTTAGATAAAAATAATACATTCTTGATGAATCAAATTGCAGGAGACGTATGAAGCTTTTTTGTTGTTGTTGTTTGGATTTGGAAGTTTCTAGGTATGATTTAGTCCATCATTCTTTAGAATGGGTTTTCATTTGTAATCAATAGAGCTAACAGTACATTGTAAATATGTATCTTGACATAGTTTTAGCTACTGTTCAGAGTGATCTCCACATTGATTCATTCTTCACCATTCATATTTTTCTGGTGTACAATTTCCATGACTTGAAGCCACAGAAATATGAGTAGTATACACCACAAATTTATCAAAGGAAGGACTATTAAAAAATCTAATTGGATCTGACTTGATTTCATTTTTCTGAACTTATGCCTTGAAAGAATGCGTAAAGCTCTCACCCTGGCTTGGAAGAAGGTCATAACTGTAATGCTGGGCATGGGACAGTTCATTTGTCTATCAGATGGTCCTTCAAATTTTATATGTGGAAACAATACAGATTGATATTCAACATATTGCCATCTAATCTTTAGGACAATTTCATATGTATTTTCAAGGATATCTGATCACTACTATCAATGTTTCTGCAATTAGAAACTTTCAGTCTTTTCTGATTTCAGCAAGAGAAACCATACCAAATAGAGTGATAGTTCTCAATTTGCAATACACTTAGCTTGCTTTGAGCTTTTCATTGTATTAGGCTGATGGTCACCAGTCATTAAATAGGCCATGGAATATTATCATAGAATTATTCCTGTGATTTGACCCTAACTTCTGGCAGAACTAACTCCAACTGATTTTTTTTTTAATTAAAAAAAAAAACAAAAAAACAAACAAACAAAAAAAAAACAACAAAAAAAAAACAAATGAAAGCAAACCAAAACAAACAAACAAACAAACAAATTCATTTCAACTGAACTGTCTGCTAGAGGATTTGAAACCATTCAAGTTGATTTCTTGGCCCCAACTCTGTTTTAAATGTAACGAGATTTCTGAAGATTCTGCAAGACCAGCATCTTTAACAGAAAGCCTGGGGGTTAATGACTTATTCTCATATGCAAGTCTGCCAGAAAATATGCGTGAAAATTAGTAGCTAGCATGGTCAATCAATATTTGCTGAAATGTATTTCCATAGTATGAGTTAAATGT